CAAAACTTTCCAAGCCCCAGATACCCAATATGTGGAATCCAGTATGTATAGCTGAATTTTAACCTAAAATATCAACTACTTTGTCAAACAAATTCGGAGAATTTATTTTTGTATGTCTTTTTGTCAAAAATGGGTAAACTCGCAAAAATACTTCCCCTAACCCACATATACCTAATATAAAGATTTTCGAAAGTTCGGTGGAATTCATAGCGTAACACGTTCTCAAGTATACTCGAGTAATGACAGAAGTTAATGCAATCAGCGCAGACGATCTCGTATACACTTTGTAGTAACTTCAGATTTTCCCTCTGACTTTAAACTGTTTATGTTAGTCAAAATGTGTGGAACGAGGTGTGTTTAGAAAGTAAAATTGAAATTTTAGCAGATTTGGAGAGTCTAATTGTCAATTTTTTTTATTATGTGGATATACATGCCGCTAAAGTGTGATACAATTTTCAGCTATATTCATTGCTTACTATGTCTGTAGCAGCTGCTAAAGTTAGGCGTGGTTTTATGGGCTTGACGATTTTTGTTTATTAAAAGCTCACATTGCATTGCTAGTTCGTGAATTGTTGGTCAAAGACAATACTGTAACGATACTCCAGCCACCATATTCGCCAAACGTAGCTCCTTGTGACTTTTTCCTATTTCCATAAATAAAGAGAACCCTAAAAGGCCAGCGTTTTACAGGCATAGATGACAAAAATCTAGTTTGAGAAGTGTTTCGCTGATTGGAAGAAGCGCTGGCATCAGTGCATAAAATCGAAGAGGGACTATTTTGAAGGCGACAACATTAATGTAGATAAATGAATAAAAAAATTTTTTTGTTCAAAAGCCGAAATTTTCCGTTATTTTTGAACACACCTCCTAATTTAAAGAAATTTCTTAAGTATGGTGTGGTTTTACGGTGAATATGAAATGTTCTGCTTTAGTGGTAAAGAGGTAGTAAACTCTATTTTCTAACCGCAACTAATTCTGGTACTACAATTCTAATATACGGAAAAGTTTGAAGTATTATATCATAGCAACATAATTCATAGCCAAATAATACAAAAATCATCGCAATTTAACATTTTTATAGATTTTCTTACATCTTACCAAAAGCAGAGTGTATGTCTCAAGTCGAGTGTTTATGAACTTTTGACACTGTAAATATCTAATTTGCTGTAACTTGCATACATTTGCAAATTGTAGCCTCAGAATGTATTCTTTGCGGCCTGTTCTCATAATTGCTATTCGAAATCGCATTTGTTGAAGCAAATACTGCCAAATATTGAATAGCTGTTGTCATCTTTTATTACTACAATTCATCACTGCAACCATGGTAGCCTCGTATTTCTACTCCAGTGAACTAGTTACCCTGAGACGCCAACTACCACTTGCTGAATTTACAAAAAAATTACCTAAAGCAAGAAATGCACAATTAAATGATAACACAATCTCCTAAATGCCTTTAAAGTCACTTTCCGACTAACAGATAGTACCCGCAACTTATACAAAGCTTAAGTAGCGTGCTTTCCCCTTACATTCTCAGCTCCTCTCCCAACCACTAACGAACTTTTTAGATACTCACAAAATCGATTGAAGTTAATTAGACAATTAAACAGTTTTCACTAAGCCAAACGATTGATAGCTATCAACAAGTTAGGAAATTTACTTCACATAGTATTCATTAAAGAGTACCCAACAGCCTGGGGGGGGGTGGTAGGAGTAGCCGAGCGAATCACTTAATATAGGCAAGTAAGTGAAAAACGAGCTGAGCGTGAGCGCCGCAAATGAAGATAAGCCAGTTGACGACCATAAAGATGATAATGTATATATATATATATATATATATATGTGTGTGTGTGTTTCGTTAGTAGTGTATGCATGCGACTGTGAAAATGTATGTGTGTGTTCATAGTAAAATTTCAATACCTTTTTCCATTAAATGTCAAAGTAAACAAAGACTAGCGCGCTAAGCCAAAGAAAGTAAATAAACAGAAACGTTGACGCGACAATAAAAACAAGCGGTAAGCCGACAAGACGCGCCCAGCGCACCAAAAGGCAGTCAGGATGAATATACTGTAGTAAACTTTGTATATATGTGTTTATAAATATATATATATATATATATTTGTGTGTGTGTGTTTAGCTTTCATATCCTGCACGGAACTTCAAAGTGCGCTGAAAGCAGGCAATAAAAGCGCGAAGAGAAATGATAGGCAAACAGCATTCATATTACAATTGCAAAGGATATTTCAAGCAACAGCAACTACAACAATAGCTGCACACAACAACAACCATACGATTGCGGCCAATACGGCTGACAATAGTCGGAGCGCACTAGGCGAGTGACAGGAGCTCCCAAGTGGCGGCAGCAGCTGTCGGATTAAATGGCATCAATTGATTGACACACAGAGATAAGCCAATTGCCAGTGCGGCGCTGTCTGTCAACGTACGAACGACGAAAAACGATAACCAGAGCAACGACGACGACGACGACGACGACTAAAGTTGTTGAGCGACCACTAACGATGTTTGGTAAGCGGAAGGAGGTGTGTGTGTGTGTGTATACCGTTGGCGTGACAATGGCAAGACTTAAGAGCAAAACTATGTATGAGTGTATGTGTGTATAAATATTTGATAACAGCATTGCGTAGTGTTTGTAACAAAGTCAAGCGTGTGGGCAGCTGAAGTGAGAGCCGCTGCTGTGACAAAAGTCACAAGGGCTTTGCTGGTGGAAATAAAGCGATTTTATTATGACAACAGCTGCACACAATGCGCAACAGGATGTTGCCGGCCAAAAGAGAAGCATAGAAAATTATTTTACTTTTACACTTCCGTCGCCGCGGCGCGCTGCTTTTATATTCTAGCAAGATTTTCGCCAAGTAAATTAGCATAACAAAAGGCGGCAGATAATGCCCAGTAAAAGTATTAAACTCTTAGAGAGTGCAAAGAAGCCAACAAGCATCTAATATATATGTGTGCTAGTGTGTGTGTATACGGTAAGACTACATTGTGGTCAGAAAATATTGTCTTTCCGCTGACTGCATGAGTGAATGAGCGCGCGCAGGCATGGCAATAAAGGATGAAAGCAAAGATGAAAAGGAAATGCGCGAAATGCGAGAATAGAGTATCAGGATGGAAGTGCGAATATACAAAAAAAAGGCACTGAAACATGAACTGAAAAAATAGAATATTTCTAGAAGAACACTTACTTTGGCTTAGTTACTTTAAGGCAACTACTCCAGGAATTTCTTATAAAATTTACAGCATTACTTTAGGTGTCAAAATAATTTATTTTTCTTAGATAGAGATATTCTTGTGAACTAGCTACATTTTCTTAGCAACGAAAGCCTTTTAGTTCTATTTTCAACGAAAGTGTATTTACAAGAATGAAAGACAAAAGAGAGCTATTGGCTTTCACTGAAGTATGAAGGTTGAAGTAGACAGATTGCTGATGATAAATTTTTATTAGAGAAGATATTTTCAGTCATGAGAACTGAACTTCCAAAAGCGAATGTGCTTAGGCTAAAAAAATTTATAATAAAATTTAATATATTAACTAAAAATATATTGAGAACTAAGACAAAAAATCGCTTTCCTTCCAACAACCAACCTAAAGAGAATCTAAAATTAGTAACCAATAAAAAAATCTACAAATTTAATAAAACAAGAAAAAAGACTCTTTACAGCTGCATATTTTAACTATTTATTTATTGAACAGTTTGTATGCCAGTTATATTAAAGAATGGTCCGATCTGAATCATATAGTTGAAAATTATAGCGATTTATTGGACAATAATAATATACAAAATTTCGTGAATATATCTTGTCAAACAAAAAAGTTTTTAATAAACGAACTTGATTTTGATCGGCCAGTTTATATGGCAGCTATGTCCTATAGTGGTTCGATCTGAGCAATTTATTCGGAGATTGTAGCGCTTTCTTTGGCAATAATTCATGCGAAATTTTGTTAAAAAATCTCTTTAAATAAAAAAGTTCTCCATGTAAGGCCTTTATTTTATCATTTAGTTTGTATGGCAGCTATATGCTATAGTAATCTGATCTGAACAATATGAACGATAAGATTATAGCTTTGCCATGGTCAATAAGCTGTGCCAAATTTTGTGAAGAAAATATGTGAAATAAAAAAGTTTTCCATATAAAAACTTGATTTTGGTTAAAGATTGACTGCTACTGATGAATATATTTGTTGCTAAAATATTATTTCAAAATTATTTTCTCACTTAAAAGCAAAAGCTAATCAATTACTATTAAACCAATTTTGTCACAAAAGCATTCATATTCATAAAATTTAATCCTTAAACGCAATAGAAATTCGGTACACCATGTGGTATGAGTAATTTGTACATGTAATAGCTTATAATGAGTCGTAACATAATTACTATTTCGCTTGCTGACAATTAAGTTCACCTGTTTGATTATAAGAAGATAATACTCTCACTCGCTCTCAACTTCCCACCCTCCCTTCTTTACACTCCTTGTCAATTTAGCTTTTAAGCTTTTTTATCCTCTTACAAAAGAAAGGAGCTGCGTTAAGCTTATTATTAAGCAAAATGACATTCGCTTGTTGTTGTTTTATCATTATAATCTTGTCTTTATTATTTGTCAAATTAATTATTTGTGATTGATTAGTTTTTCTATTTAGTAATGAATATAATCACAATTATTATTTGAATCAAATAATTATCACTTTAAATGACTAAGCGAAATATTAACACGTGCAATCTTATAAACTGTAATGCCTACAGCGGCAAAAATATTGAAATAATTTTATTTTTTTTTAAACAAAATTAAACAAAGGCAGTTCTATGGTTGTAATGTTGTAATTTCAGTAACTTAGGTATTTTAAAAACAGATATTATAAGAAATATTTGTTAAAGCATTAATATATTCAATTTCTATAAAACAACAGCTTCTTTAATTAAATACAAAATATTTTGCTGTACTTTTTTCAATAAATTATTCAAAAGATTATATCTATATCATTACAGAGTCATACAATCATCACATCCCGTATGTAATACCATAATGCTCTTTGGTGTCATCATATGCCTGGCATCAGTCATACTCTTAGGTATGGATGGGCGATTTGTCAGTCCAGAGGAGTATCCAAAAGTAAGTATTGAAAACTTGGCAATATATAGAATTTAAAAATAAAGAACTTTTCAAAGTAACTAGTAAGCTGTTAAGAATTTTTACTGACCACTAATTACTTAGAGATTAGGGTGATACGAATTCACATTTTTCTTAAACAAATCAATACAAGTTCTAAAACAGAAGGCACACAAAATTTTACAAGCTAAAATAGATTTCTTCAGCATATGCTATATTTTTTAAAATTTTTTAATTTCTTTTTTGTTCTTTTTGCAGATATGTCAAGCGCGCGCTTGGCTTCTAACCACCGGTTTTACATTAGCCTATGGTGCGATGTTCAGCAAAGTCTGGCGTGTGCATCGGTTTACAACAAAAGCAAAAACAGATCCAAAAGTAAGTAATACTGCAAGTATACAAAAAGATTTAGCCAAATTTTTTTAAATGTTAGAGAATATTTATTTTAATAAATATTTAAAATAGTTGAAATAGTTTTTCATTGCTTAACTAAAGAGGTCCAAATATTTTAACAAGAATTGGAATTTAATCTAATAAATTACCGCCCGATGAAAAATATGTATAAATATTTTATATACAATGAATTTTAATAAAAATATAATGTTTAAAAAACAAATAATACTTTAAAAACTCTTTTTAATAAAAATTTCACGCTCAAATTTTATAGTTTTTAAAATGAAGATTCATCCATAATTCTGGCCAATATATCCCACCCAAATTTTTAGAACATAGTAATTTAAATATAAATAAGCTCATGTTTAATTAAGTCATTATTGTAACAGATCGTTAAAAATTATAATTTAATTGGCTAAAAAATTCTGAGCATGTGGCAACATCTTCTCGAAAAAAAATTTCGTCGGAGGCTTTAACTTTATTTTATCTGATACACATTCCATAGCGTTTTTTATCCTATATATTTTTTTATTCAGAACTTTCATACTAGTGGCAACACTACCCAAACATTTTTCCAAAAATAAGATTTAAACGTGTTTAATTTAATGTCTTTACTATAATTAATCGTTAAAAGTAATAGTACAATTGTTTAAAAATTTCAAGCAGGTGGCAACCTCTCTTCCAAAAATAAATTCGCTTTATATTTTTATTTAATTTTAATCAATACACAAAGTGCAGTGTTTCATTATTTGGTTTATATAGGTATATCATTTTTCAAACAGTTGGCAACCCTTACCAAAAAACGTTTCCAACAGATTTATTTACAACTTTAATTTAATATCCCCATTGTAAGGTTTCAATAAAAATAATAATTTAAGAGGTTTAAAAATTCTAAGTAGGTGGCATCATCTTGTACGAAAAAATAACAAAAATAATAACAAATCCGTTACACAGATTGAAGCTTTTCTTTATCTTATATATTTATGTATGTATATGTTCAATATAATTTTCATACAAGTGGCATCGCTTCCCAAAAATTTTTTTCCTCAGAATAATGTTATCATGTTTTATTTCATGTCTTTTTATTGTAATGTAATAAAATAAAAATAATAGCTTAGTCGTTTAAACAATTTCAAGCTGGTGGCAGCTTCTTCTCCAAAAATGTTTCTCCATTAAATTTTATTGTAAATATTTGTTTCAAAAGACACTTACATGCGTTTTTCTTTTTATGCAAAAAACTAAGCTATCAAATTCATGCGTTGAAAACTGCCTACATATATACAGGGAAAAGAACCTCCCTGCAACGAAAAATGTTAACTTAATTTTAAAACGTGTCGACACTCAAAGACTCCGATTTAAATGACCGTAAAAACCTGTTTTAATAACAAATATTATAACTTTTGAACCGTTAAAAAATTTAATCTTTTTTTATTGCGGATTCTTGAGGGGCATAAAATTTCCTAAAGAATCGGCCTGGGAAAATTTTTTTCATTTCAAAAACTCGTACATTTAAAAGCTTTGAATACAATGTTATTTTATTGAAAACCTTCATGCAGGTGGCAATCTTTCTCAACAAAAGTTTTCATTAGCAGGCTTCCATAAACCTCTTGTAATGTTTCTCCATACAAGCGAACATTTATCCATACAAACTTTAAAAGTGTGACCATATTTCAATTAAGGTGTTAGGACCTTCAAAGAAAAATAGGTTCTAGAAATGACAAATTAAAAACTAAAAATAAAAATTGTAAATAAAGTAAAAAATAAGTAGAAAATTATAAAAGAGATATACCGGATCGGCAAAAAAAAACACATTTCTTGTACTATTCGGAAACATTAAAGAATTAGTTATTCTATTACTCTTTGTTGGTTCAGAAAACATAAACAATATTTACTTAAAAAAAATAAAAATAAAAAATAATAATAATTAAATATAAAATAAATACAAATACACACATTAGCAACATACAACCTTGAAACTTTTTTATGATTCCGAAAAGTATACAAAAACGAACATGAAATTAGCAAATGACTACTATTTCAGTTCACACATAAAAATATCCACATCCACAACATGCTTGAAAGCAAATTTATTTAAATTCGTTAACACAGAATATATCACACGCATGTCACTCGATTAAATCGAATTAATACATCTCCAAGCTGGCCGATATAAACGCTTTATTCCATATTAATTAATTCACGCAGTTGTGGCCAATTGCTTAACCAACCAATCAATTCAATATAGCGAATCGCAAGCGGCAATAACAAACAAAATACACCGCCCAATAATACATGCATATAATTCACCTATAAACCGTAGATCACTCATTAAATTTCGAGCGCTTAATTAGTTTAAATTGATTGCAAATGAAAGCACTTTATGCATAATATTGCATGAGCTAAACATTACAGCGAACACCAAAACTGTCCGAAACTTCGAAATAACTTTTGACCTATGTTTCTTACACTAATATTCACAATTCTTCTGCACTTCCACAAAACACCGACATACGGAAGCTTTAACTTCAGCTAAGTCAGGAAATTTAAGGGCCTGCCTGAAAATATTATTAAGTTATTAACAATTGATCTGATCCTAGATTTTGGTCATAATAAAGCTTTTCTCAAAACCTCTAAGCTTTCACAAGTAAATTGGGTTTGCAAATTGAGATCATGGAATACGAGGTGTGTTCAAAAAATAACAGGTTATTCAAAATTAAAATCTCACGAGTTTGGAGTGTTCAATTGTCAAGTTTTTTTGATTATGTTGATATTATATACAGGAGAGAGATAGTTGATAACTACCTTCTTATATAGGACCACTACTGGATATATCTCAAAGTCATACCAAATGATGGATCAAAATCAAGTTTTTGTATGGAAAACTTCTTTATATTACATGATATCATCACGAAATTTGGCTCAGATTATTATTCAAGGCAATAGTGCAATCTCAGGAGAAATTGTTTAGTTCGAATCATTATAGCATATAACTGTCACACAAACTCAACGGTCAAAAATAAGCTTTTATATGGAAAAATGCTATTATAGCTTCGGTGCCCGAAGTTGATTTTTGATGAGTTTTTTGTTTTAAGATTAGATCGCTTCCAGAGGCTACTAACATAAATTGTAGTTAATACGGAGTAAAAGGAAAGTATATCTAAGGATTCGGGTCATCTTTGATTCCAGTAAACAAAAACACAAAATAAATATTTTGACTTTTGTTCAGAGAAATTTTCAAATTTATATACCATTAAGACTGCTTTATAAAGTTGTATAAGAAAAAAGCATGTCCGATTCCCGATGGTATGAAAGCCATGAATAAACGAAAGGATGGTCACGCGGTCGGGCAATGCGATTTCCAGCAAGCATGTGTCAGCATGTTTGTGCCAAATAATTCAAAAAATTAAAACTATAGCATAGCTCTATGAATATGTGTTTCCAAAACTCAAAGTTCCAGCACAATATTACATATGTATATTCCAAATTTAATGCAGTAGTGCGAAAAAAAAACTTTTCCAACAAAATTCCGTTGATATGTGGCGCTACAAAGCAACTTTTTCTGAATTTTGCTGCAACTATCTTATTTAATACATATTCGGGTGAAAATTTTGCCAAGAGAAAGAAAATCAAAAATGTGTTCAACAGATGACGCTGGTGTAAAATAATATTTCTTACATTTCTCCATAACATTTTCGATTTTGCATAAATTTTGGTATTTTAATTTACATAATAATTCTTACATTTGCCCATGAGATTTTCGTTTTTGAATAAATTTAGTTATTTCTTACATTTGTCCATGACATTTTTGTTTTTGAATAATTTACAATAACTAATTACAGTTACTAAATTTATTCAAAATCGAAATTGTCATGGACAAATGAAAGAATTTTTAAGCTTGATAAATAACGGGAAATATGCCAGCTTTCTTACAATTATAATTTCATTGTTTGTCAGAATTATTTGCCTTTCAACGGTACACGCGAAGTTTCGAATTTAGCTATACACTAATTTCATTGTCATTGCAACAAAGCTACTGCCATTGAAATGAGATCACTAATGAGCACTTTCAATTGAAATCCGCAACCAACAGAGCTGGAGGAACATAGGCGCAGGCAATCAATGCGAATACAAATGAAAAATTGCGTCAAATTCATTTCAAACAAATTGTTATACAATTGAGCAATAACGGCACTACTAAATACACACTAATATATACGAGTGTGTATGTGATATACTATTATATATGTATGTATGTGTGCGTTGGAACAAAGCAGCTGCGATGATAGGCTCAATTGAGTCCATAGAATACCGCAATGGCAAGCAGAATAATATACTAGCAGGCAAACCGCAATTAGAGGTCATAAATATGCACAGGGGCCACCGACACAATGCCACACACACACACACTCACAGATATGTATATACGCTATGCTGCATTAATGCCGCACTAATGCTTAGCCATGGCACTTAAGCACACACATATAATCATTTAATATTCCCTAATGCGCATTATGATTGTTAGCAAACCAGGGAGCTGTGTACAACTGAATTTTATATATACATGTATAGCTATGTATACATATCCACACAGCTATGCTTATGTATGAGTGCTGCACCTGCGGTGTGTGGCACATGACTGATGCTTCACTGCCTGCCAGTTGGTTAAACATTATGCGTAGTCAAACAGACAATCAGCGTTGCATTAGTATGTGTAACATGCGTGTGAACTACAATTACATAGCACTGCATAACATTATCTGGTTATAGGTTGATAGAAATTCGAGCGAGAGCAGGTAGTGTTAGGGACCCCGCAGACAAAGACAATGCTGCTGATGATGATGACTCTGTAAACTAATTAATCAGAGCGCATTACAAAAGGGGCGTGCGTGTGGCAAGCCAGTCGAGCTAATTACAAATAGGTGCACCGGCTGGCACGCATGACACACATGACATTTCATATGCACACACATTTAGCGCTATGCATGAGCGTGCTTAACCTTTGGCGATGGCAAGCAAGAGAAAAAAAAAAACGAAGAAAAGCAAGGCCAATTGTTGCAAAACAGCTTAAGAATGTGATAAAATATATTAAAATTGTAATAAAAAAAAAAAACTAGAAAACAAATTTGTTTAAGAAAAATGAGTGGCAACACCACTAAAAATAATTTTAACATATATAAGTATATTTAATTATTGCTTGATACTAAATTCATCATTCAGTTTATATCTAAAAGCATGTTCCGTTTAAAAAATATATGGCAACACTCTCCGGCATTAAGCATGAGTCATTATTTTTTCGATTACATAAATAATAATGGATCAAATTATAACATTATACAACAAAAACATTTGCCTTTCAGCAGCACACACGAGTGTCGCAAATGCAACAACTAATATTATTACTTGTGAAAAAATTATATGGCAACCTTTTTTAAACAAACATTGTATTCTTCATTTTAATAAGCAGATTTGTACTACACTTAAACTTGCAATACTAAGTATGTTAATTTCTAAAAAAAAAAGTTGTGATAATTTAGCATTATATGGCAACACTTACCGTCACTAAGCATCAGTCATTCTATTTTCCATTACTTAAACAATTATAAATCTACCAATAACATTTCACCTATTTAATAACATATATTATGACTTGTGATAAAATTGTATGGCAACCCTGTTTATAAAAAATTGTTATTATTTATTTTATCTGATTGATACCTGCCCTTTAATTAACCTTAATTAAACATGTTTATTTCTAACAAAAAAAAGGTAAATCATTGCGCCGACGGTCTGGTGTAAAACTTTTATCGTTATATGACAGCACTGTTTGAAATTTAGCCATTCGTTGGCATATATTCCACTAGAAATAATTTTAATATATAATATATGTATATTAAATTATTGCCCGATACTTAAATGTCATTCAATTGATATCAAAAACATGTTTCATTTAAAAAATATGTGGCAACACTCACGGGCATTACTAACTATAATACTTTAATTTATTTAAAAGATTAAAGATGAAATAATAACATTTAACAACTAATATTGTTACTTATAATAAAATGATGTGGCAACCCTATCGTGAATAAAAAATATTTTTACTTCATTTTATCAAGCAGATTTAGTTGGTACCTGTAGTAAAATGAGATCGTATCAGTAAACATGTTTGTTTCTTGCAAAAAAATTTTATGTATAGCAACGACAGTTAGCCGTAAAACTTCGTGCATTATATGGCAACAATGGTTTAAAATAATATATACAAATAAAAAAAATTATATACCAAAAATTTAAAAAACTTTTTCGAATCAACTAAAACTAAGCCAATAAAAAAACTATATGGCAACTCTGCTGAAATAATTTAATTGCTTATGTACTATTATTATGCCTAAAACATCCACACCGAACTATTTGAAAACATTTTTATATTTGTTATAGTAAAGTATTATTTCACTAGTTTAAAATATATGGCAAAGATTTTTTTATTACAAAAATCTGCGCTAAAGCATAAAATAAATAAAAAAAAATAAAATAAAAGATCATAGCAACTAAGAAATAATAATTATTATTTACATATTATTTATTTTGTTGTTATAATACGTGACAGAATTTTAGGAAAAAGTTGCAAAAAATTTATTTTTAAATCAAAACATGGGTATTTCTGTTAGTATAGATGAAATTTAGAAAAAATATAAACTAATATTACTTTGATTCTTTAAGTTTTCGACATAACTGGCAACGCCACTAAAATTATTTTCTTAGCAAATTAAAAAATATATAATTTACTTATTTCAAAACACATTTATATTCATTGCATTAAAGTAGTTTTTGACATCTTTTAAACATATGGCAACTCTTTACAAAATGTTTATTAACAAAACTCTACCCTAAAAATTGAAAAAATTTCAAAATATTGTGCCAGTAAAAATACTATCACTGTTTATATATTTCCACTTTGAAAACATGTGGCAACCACTTTTTAAAAAGTTGCAAAAAGTGTATTTTAAATCAGAACCTGTTTATGTTTAATATTAAGTTTTTTTAATTATCATTATTTTTTATTAATACTTGCTTTTTTGTTTTCAGAAAAAAGTCGAACCATGGAAGCTTTACACCATGGTCTCCGGACTGTTGTCTGTAGATTTAGTTATACTATTCGCCTGGCAGATTTTTGATCCGTTACAGCGTATACTTGAAACATTCCCACTCGAAGACCCTGTATTAACATCCGATGATATAAAAATTCGTCCAGAATTGGAGCATTGTGAAAGTCATCACAATTCAATGTGGTTGGGTGAGTAAAAATATTTGAATAGCAGAAAACTTATTTCATCAAAGCTTACTCATACTCATACTCAAATTCATACTCCTACTCACTTTTATACTCAAACTTATATCAGTACTTTAATCTATTTTCAGACTCATATTCGTAATTATTTGCTTAGCAGGAACTAATTTTCATATTCATACTCATACCCGAACTCATTTGCATATTCTTGCTGATACTCAAACTTATTTACCACACTCATTCTCATAAAAGTACTCATTTTTATATTCATTTTCATACTCGTACTTTTTATGATAATCACCTTCCTATAACTACTTATATTGATTCTTCAAAGAATACTTACTATGCTAATACTCATACTCATTTTGACTTCTTTCACTAATTCCTTATCCTTCTTCCTCTCTTTTCAGGGCTCGTTTATGGCTTCAAGGGGCTAATACTCGTGTTTGGCCTCTTTCTGGCCTACGAAACGCGTTCGATTAAGGTGAAGCAAATCAATGATTCCCGCTATGTTGGCATGAGCATTTACAATGTTGTTGTACTGTGCTTAATCACAGCGCCTGTGGGCATGGTCATCGCTTCGCAACAGGATGCCTCATTCGCATTTGTTGCATTGGCTGTGATATTTTGTTGTTTCCTAAGTATGTTGCTGATATTTGTGCCAAAGGTGAGTGATAGATGGTGCTAATTTCAATTTACCGAAAATCTTATTATTCTCTTAAGTTATTATATATATTTGTAAGAAACTCTATTATTCCTACTCTACCACTTTTTCTAAATTGCCTCTCAACAGGTCATTGAAGTGATACGTCATCCAATGGATAAAGCTGAATCAAAGTACAATCCCGACTCTGGTATATCGAAAGAGGATGAGGAGCGCTATCAGAAATTGGCTACTGAAAACGAAGAGCTGCAACGACTGATATCACAGGTAAATAAAAGAGAGGCAATTTAGTCATAGTTCGTTTACGGTATTATTTTTGTTTTCGGAAAGATCTTGAAGACACCCTGTAGGTAATAATAACTGCATGATTATCCAACCAAGGTTAATCAATATTAAATAACTAATGGCTGTCTGATTCTAAGAGAGAAGACACGATTTCAAATAGTTAGGGTAACTCGATTTCATTCAGTGTATTATTCATCTAGCAGTTTTCGGCGACCATTGTTTATTCTGAGGTAACGCATTTAAAAGCTTTAAATGTCTGACAGAAATGCAGACGATGTTAAACAAGCCGAACACGATTCACAAATTTTTTGGTAAGTACTTCTTCTGGAACTTCCCCTGTCATAAAGGCGATCGTAGATATCTTGACTAAAAATTTCAGACCAAAGTGTCCGAAGGTTTATTAAGAACCTTTGCGAGCTTAAAAGACAATCGGGCAATGAGATCAAGGAAATAAACGTGACAATAAACCCGTTTCAGTTTAAAACAGGAAAACTAAATTTCAAGTCCAACAAAATATATAAATATTATAATTAAATTATAAGATTAATCGCCTAACTGCTAATCGAAAGAAATTATAAAACTGTCGAATTTCGCAGTTCGATCACCACAGCGACCCCCCCAAAAGTACCTATAGCACCCTCGAGCTCTGTGAAAAATCTCGGGATTATCGTAGAAATTGAAGATAATAGTTGAACATTGAAAGTAGATCTTCCAAAACCCTTCCAATTGTGAACTCCTGTAAAAGAGCCACTGCCCCAAAGCAGTGTTTACGACCCTGCATGGTCTATTGGCTCTACACAAGTGTCATCTGTCTCGTACTAACATATGGTGCGTTGGTGTGATAGATGGCACTATCGAAAAGGTTTCACATTAAACCCCTCTCACAGGTGCAACGGGAGTGCTTGCGGAAGATTACGGGCGCAATGAAAAGTACCTCAACAAAGATCCTGGAGGTTATTCTCGATATCCGACCAATAGGTACATACATGATTTTAAGCCATTGGAACTAGGTTCGGCGTTACTGCGGGCATGGTATTATACTCAACCTTGTTACTAAACTCAAGCTAAATTGACAATGCGATCGAGAAAAGGAGAGCAGAAAAGAATGTTCCAATGGTTCTGTGATCGAGAGTTTCAACGGCGAAATCTGTGGTATATATTCCTCGGTAGATTAAAGGCTGAAATAGAAACCGGAGCGAGCTTTTTCTGTAGTTATCCATACGGCGAAAGTAGCTCCAAACTAAATTTAATATTTTAAGCCGAAATTTTTGGCATAACAGTAGGTGCGAAGGGAGCTTCTGCTCTAGCCAACTAGTACATTAACCTAAATCTCACTGCGTAAGGTTAAAAATCATCAGGTCAGATATATACTACTGGCCTAAACTTATTTAGCCTTCAAAAAATTGATAATATGGATGATGAAATACGGGAACATTATCTTTGCAAATGCCCAGCCCTCAGCCGGTTGAGGCGGGATTTCTGCCACGGCTTCCAATGTGCCAATTTAAAGGACATCCGTGATATCAATACAGAACGTCGTAAAGAAATATAATAGCATATAACATAGCAAGGATAGAGTTCTGTTGCTATATGATATTTGTGTTCATCTCTCATTTTCTCTCTCTCTCTTTTACTTCTTGTAGGATGTGATACATAACCGAATAGCTCTTAATCTAGTTTATTGAGGACCTGTTCTGATCTTCCATTGCATATTTCCTTTTCCACCACTCAATTATTATTTTGTTTTTTGTACTCAAGCAAACTCAATCACATATGTACAACAATTAAATCTCTTACGCATATTAAATGCATTTAATGCTTCATCAAAAGTTATTAAATTAAATCATTAAGCTCTCAGTGCCGCTGTGCCGCAGTGCAAGCAAGCGCAATTTAATTCAATTATACGAAGAAGAAAGAGAATTGGGAAAAATATTTGACTACATACGTGAAACTATAAACGAGCAACATTAAGAGATCAATTTTGGCCGCGCAAACTGAGCGGCAGATGAATTTACGAGTCAATCAATAAATTCTTATCGCAGCAACGATGATGTACCAATATAATGTACCGTTACGTGTACGTATATTTTTGTTGGCTGTAGAATTTTCGCTGATTACATTTGGACAACAGCAACAACAAGGAGCAAAAGAAAGCAGAGTTGCAAAAGAGGAATATGGTAGAAGAAGAGTGAAGTGTGGGCGATGCATGCAACAGCAATTCATATAGCTGAGTGTGTGTGAGGGGGAGTGTGTGCAAACGCATACAATCAATATTTTTAGTGCTCATCAGGGTGCGTATTGACAAATATGGATTACACCATGTCATCATGTCAGACGCATAACTGCACCAGCACATACACACACGCTACTGTAAACACATACATACATATACACATATGTGCTTATTGCCCACAATAGCGATTGGTGTTTCGTTATGAAGAAGAGGAAGATGAATTGCTGTGCGAGTTCGTGGAAACGCATCATTGATGCTGCCATGGTTGGCAATGCGGCACCAACGCTCGCAATAGCAATTACATGCCACAATGGATGGATTGCGTCGTGCGCGGAAAGGGGCGGTAGACAGTGAGGAGATATCACTACCAAGCCGGCTATGGTGCTCCGAGTGGCGCGTATGTCCGGTGCAGCAGCTGGCAGTGAACTGTAGCGTTCCGGAACTCTGGTAGCGTTGGCAAATACCGGCTGCAACAAAGAGCCAACGAAAAGGAAAATTGTATACGTGTGTGTGTCAGTTTGCAAGTGCAATGGGAGTGCAAACTTACGTTTTTATATGTATATGTGTAACTATATATTTATGTTTACGTACGCATTGGCTACAAAAGCTCGTATGCGGTTATGACCAACAAGCCAAGATTAACTACAGCAGCTCTCAGATTTTCCACATACTTACACACACATAAATATATACGTATGGCAGCCGATTGGATTGTTGAAAAGGATACATAAGTTGCATATTATGTTGCGGAACTAAATATAGCGACATACATACACTCACACATATACAACAAAATCCGTGCACACATATCACATCTTGACTATTGAATCCTCTCCAGTTCGACTTATTTGCACTTCTTGACGGTTGGCTATTTCTCTTTCCTTGCTTGATCTCGGACAAACAGCTCGCAACTAAGATCCTGGAGTTGTTGCTAGTTCTGGCGCTGCGTTTGTTGAAAATTAGTGGCAAATGTTGCTCATTCAGATTGAAATGTTTTGTATGAAATCATTATTCATGCTATGTTAAATTCTGATATTTCAGTTACGTTATGTTAAGTTATTTTATATTATGTTATGTTAAGTTAATTTATGCTAGTTTAAGATAAGTCACGTTATATTAAATTATATGTTGCTTATATTATATTATGTTATTTTTTTTTTTGTTATGTTAAGTTATACAAAAATTAAGTTATGTTAAGTTAAGTTATTTTACGTTAAGTCATGTTATGTTAAATAATGTTTTGCTAAGTAACATTATATTAATATTTTGATGTTTCGAAACTTTAAGTTCACATACTTTAGTTACGTTAAGTTAAATAATTTTATATTATATTATGGTATTTAAAGTTAAGTTTTACACAAATTATATAGTAAATTTATGTTTTGTTAATTAAAATTATGTTAAGTAATTTAACCTTAAGTCAGATTATGTTGAATTATGTTATGCTAAATTATATTATATTATGATTTTTTATATTTTATAACGTTAAGTTATTTAAGTTACGTTATGTTAAGTTATTTGATACTGTGTTATGTTATATAAAATTAAGTTGAAAACAAATTATATGCTTAAGTTATGTTAAGTTATTTTACGTTAAGTCATGTTATATTAAACTATGTATTGCTAAGTTTTATTATATAAAGATTTTGACGTTTTAAAACTAAGTTAAGATTTTACTTACATTATGTTGAATTATTTTATAGTATGTTATGTTATATAAAGTTAAGTTATACACAAATTATGTATATTATGTTAATTAAAATTATGTTAAGTTATTTTATGTTAAGTCATGTTATGCTAAGTATATATTATCAATATTTTTTTATGATTTGTAACGTTAAGTTGAGTTATTTTAAGTTAAGTCATTTTATGGTACGTTTCTTTCGAACAGACTCCTAACTCAGATAGTAACACAATAGAGAAACGAGGACATCTCGTTCGAAACCGTTCTGTTTGTCTATTAGCAAGTGAAATAGAATTCTACAACCTTAGTTGTCGCAAGGTTTAAGGCTAACGATATAAATATTAAAAGAAACTATTACAAAATCCGTAAGAATTTCTTATATGTTATTTATATTTTAGAACCGGTTCCCTAGATATTCGGGCATACACAGGAACCAGAACGGAGCCAAATTTATTTCTAGCCAAAAGTTGTTATATTCGCAGCATCCACAAAGCTTTTAGAGGATATTTTATATGGCAACCACACATATTTTCTAGTCCCTTATATGATCAACTAACTATTCTTCTTTCTCTCTTTTCACCAACTATCATCCACAGAAAGAGGAGAAGATTCGCATACTCAAGCAACGGCTAGTCGATTGGGAAGCCACGCACAAGAACGGCGAGCTGAACGGCAGCAACGGCACAAATGGCATTTCCATGGGCGGCATTGCCACACATCATCAGCCAGTGGCGAGCGTCAATTCCTTAAGCGGTGGCATGAGTGCTACGCTAATGAGTGGCGGCGGTGGCAATGCCGGCTCCGGCTCAGGTTCCACCAACAATTCACTCAATCTACAAGCAACGACGTCCTCCTCACAGCATAACACACCTGCCGCCACATTAGCGATAACACAAGGTAATTGTCAACACAAGTCAATCGCACATAGTGCTAGCAATAGCTGTCGATTTAGTAAATATCACAACAAAAACAGCAACAACAACAACAATAGCATGAGTAATAAAAATGGCATGTTGCTAAACACATCAGTGTCGGAAATGAATTTCATTGCTTTCAATTGCAAAGCTATCAAGCGCGATTCACTGGTATTGCTGGCCAGCGATGTGGGTACGACGAACTCAGCGCCGTTAATCGAACTCGATGATGCCATAGGTATGTGCGCCAACGGTAATTACACACAGATGCGGCGCTCAACGATTAAGAGTCCAACAACGGCTTTGGAGTTCTCCGATAATTATCTTTGAGTGTGGGTCGTATATGCCTATTGATATAGCCGTGGGCGGCGCTAGTGGGAGTTTGACAATTTTGGTACGAATACTTTTCGTAGCGTAGCGCACAAAGACGCGTACATATTACTAGGTGTGAGCTTTTGTTATTGTGGACTATTGTTGGCGCTGCTTTTGAGTTGTGTGCGTGTACATAGGCTGCGCTTTAGCATTAGCTAGTGGACTAATGTGAGGAATTGTAGATAATTTTGTGCTAAATAGACTTATATAAAAATATTTTTGAACTTCTATGGTGTGCTTCTTTTGTTTTAATATAAAATCTTTTATTTATTCTAGAAATACTTGCAATTTTCTGCGGAATTGGTAATATTTTCTAAAAGTTAGACTAAAAAATCACAAAGTCCTTGTCAGTTGAATTGCAAGTGCGCTCACATAGTTCCTATTTTAATGTGTGACTTTGATTTTGGTGTTGGAACACACAGCTTTACTTTAGCTGTATTGAAATTTAGAAATAATGAATCGAATCAATACCACTTTCGCACGTTTTCAAATATTTTGCTTTTTGAATACATATTTCACAAATGTTGGAGATTTCAAATTACATGTAATTCACCTTTTTTTATAATATTCTTTTTAATATCGCTAAAGAAAAATCATTAAATCACATGCTTTCATTCAAAAATTTTGCACTTTGGACTTTTTCACTTTTTGTTTTCCCTAAAAAATGTCAGATGTTTACAGTAATATTCATTACAGGGCAATATCACAGCGCTGACTATTAAATTTTTAGTATTCATCATATCAGTATATCACCTATTCCTAAAAGATTTGTATCGTCATATTAAAATATTACCTATTCACGAAAACACAACATCTTATAAAGTTATATGTGCAATTGATTTGATTAAATTTATACTTTATGATCACATCATGTCTTCCGACAATTTGATATATAGGTTAAACATAATTATTAACATTTGCTCATAATAAATAAAATGTTCACATCACATGCAAATACATTTTGTTGTTAATTTGAATTCGGCAAATAATGGAATTTCATCACATTATCAATATTGGCGATGATCACTTGGCATCACATCAATACACAATAAATTTAAATTTAAAAAAAATCACATCACAACAAATTATGGATATATACGATGATTTGATTAAATTATCCTCATCATCTGATCACATCATGTGACATCACATATCCGGTCACGTGACATTACATCAATATCCAATTAATTTTAGTTTAAAAAAAATTACATCACACCAAATAATGGATACTTGCGATGATTTGATTATATTTTGATCATATTATCACATCATGTAACATCACATATACGATTATTATGTCGATTTGACCTATCATTAAAAAAGAAATCACATCACACCATATTATCTATTTTTGAGATTGTATGATTTATATAATGATCACATCACGTGACATCACATTGTAGCAAGCTAGAGGATGAATACGGTTCAACTTAGAGAAACATTTCGTATATTTTTACAACCAGTTCTCACCAAGCTTATAAATGTTTGTTATAGCGCTATTAGCGTTCAAAACCTGTCTATATCAATGTGTCTATGACTAGATCACAATATTTTTACTCCATGTTTAAACCAAAATGTTAACTGCGTCGATCAAAGCACATTTTTAATTGTTCTGTACTTTATATGAGAATTTACCTATAAACATACTAATGATATTATTTTCGATTCCTCCCACACATGCTCTATCTCTTTCAGATACCCATGATCATCATACATGAAAAAACGTGTCAATTTCCTTCTCGTGATAGGTTAAGTATATGTAAATCAAGATAAAAAAAAGAAAAAAATTAATGGAAGATAGTTATTACTACGTTATTGTACAAATTCTAATTGCAATTAGTAAAGTGTAAAGTTAAAAGTAAGCCTAGTAGTAAGTAGCAATAATATAAGTGTATGTAATTGAAATTGATGTAGCTGTAAACTTAAGTCCTTTAAATATATAAATACGAGAGTTAAAACTAAATGAAGCGAGTGTAAGTTATTGAAGTGAAAGCAAAGAAGAAAAAAAATAAAAAATAAAAACACAAAGTGTTAAGCTAAAAAAATGCAGTTAAATTAATTTTAAAAAATATTTAAAACAAAAAAAATGATTAAAAACAGAGAAAAATTACTCGAAACTAAAACTCAGTATGAAAGTTTATAACAAAAATGTGTAAAAAGTTTAGAACTTTAATTTGAAGCTGGAAAAAAGCAAGCGATTTGTGTGTTTTCATGAAAAGCTGTGTCTGTATTTATGTATATTTACATATATACAAGTATATTATTTATATTAGTTGGTAAATAGCTAAATATGAAAATAAATTAACGAAATTGTTGTAAGCAATTCTGCAATTGTTAGTGTTACTGTGTATTAGTGTTAGTGTTGCTAGGCAATAGTTTTAAATTTTAGGCAAATGTAGGCGCATATTATAGTATACTAGAAGAATATTGTATGTAATTGTAGTGTTATTAACGGAAATTGCGTCATTAGTTGGTAAGCAAATGAAATCGTGCGTTTTCTCTTTTCTAAACAAAACTTTCTACCACCAAATACTAAGAAACTATACAAAAAATTTAATACAAAAATGCCATAACTTAATGTTCTAAACATTTGTAAGACAATGAAAACTAATTAGACTAACTAAAAATTAAAAACGAATGATGAAAATAAGCAGTTTTTAAACTAAAAGTGTCTAGATATTAGATATGTATATGTATTCATACTATTATTATTATTATTAATATTGTTATTACTATTACTATTTTATTAATAAAATAGGATTATTTCATATTTATTCAAATTTTTCCAATTTTGAATTATTTTTCTAATTTTTATTGAATTTTTAATATTATAATAATAGTCAATAATTATATACTAAATGTTTTATATTTATTTTAGTTGTTTCACTTTTTAATGCTTTATTTGCTAATTTTTTATTTATTTTAAATATTATATTAATAATCTATAATTTTATGCGTGAGGTTTCCCAAGAGACGTAACTTAATTATTATTTCAATGTTTCAATATTCCGAACATGCGTTGGAAGGCTACTTTCTTTGTGCGTCTTTTTCAGTATATGTCATTCATTTGAAGCGTAGACGACACAAATATTTTTTCACTCAAATATGTCGAGCTTTAACTATGTAAAAGTGTTTTTGCGTGGAATTCTTCTTCTTTACTTTAGCATGGAGAAAACCGCAGCCGAAAGTCATCGTATTTTGGTAAAAGTTTATGGTTAACATGCGCTAGCTGGACGAACGTGTCAAAAGTGGTTTGTACGATTTAAAGTGGTGAATTTTGCTTGGAAGACTAAGAACGTCCAGGGCGAGCAAAAAAGTTCAAAGAGAAGAAACTAAAATTAATACTCAATGAAGTTTATTGTCAAACTTAAAAGCAGTCAGATATATTCAAAAGCAAGGAAATTGGTGGACTTATGAATTAAAGTCAAGTTACGGCGAAAGACGACTTCGCTTGTCAGAAACCAAATAAATTAAATATTTACACTTATTCACTTTTAATAATTCATGTATTATATTTAAACTCATCGGTTTCTGCGGAATTATACTATTAATCTTATTTTTTCCATTTTTTTTTCTACATATTTTTGTTACACTCTAATACTTGTACATATGTGCTAGATTCCACGAATACAAACGACTACTATCGATTCGATACAGCATACAAAAAATAGTATTGAAAGCAAACATTTTATTGTTATTTTTAAGAACTAAGACTAGGCCATATAATAAATCGTGAAATCTTCTACAATCAAGCCTAAGCAAATGACTTAGTATCGTCTACACTATATACAGTATGTTTTTTTCGCATACTGCAAGCTTTCTATAAAATCTGATTCAAAATAAAAATTAATTTTAAAACTTTCGGCTTGTGATGCACCCTCATGTATGCTCATATTTGTCTAAGTGCTGAAATACTCATAGAAGGCAGCTGCTACATCACAGTGTAAAGAGCATAAATATTTTTATAAAAATAAGAAAGTAAAAAAAACTCTTTTTCCGCTCTGTTCAATACCTTACATTGCATTTCACTATGTTCATAGCCTACTGTATGCAGCAATGTGAAAATTTTTACAAAATATTTATTAAAATAATTGCAATGTTTTAATTTTTCAATATTGTTAACAGCGAAAATATAATTTTGTATTACTTTTTCCACTATTATTTTTTTAATTTTTATTTACTTAAAAAGTTTATTTTTTTATAATATTTTTTTTACTTAAAATTTTACTTTATTACTTGCTAACTGACAACTTATACCAAAAACTGTCATATACCATAACTAAACATAAACCATAAAAACATAAATAATAAAAATAGCAAGTAAACGAAAAAACTTTCCAAAAAATTTATGCTTATACTCATGAGACACAAAACACTGCGACTTTTATACCACAGAGTAAAAAAATTTAACGCGAAAAAATATGTAAATAATTCACCAACTCGCTAAACTTCTGCATTTTAATTCGAAACTCACGAACCAGCAAACAAAAACAAAAATAGCAGTAACAAAAGAAGCGTATTATGAAGATATAAAAATTCCTATGAAATGAAAGACTTTGAGTAAATACAAAAACAAAAAATAAAATAAAAACAAAAATAAATATACTTATATATAAACACACCTACATATGTATGAAAATAGGTAAGTAAATAAAGCAGAAAAAGTTTGAAATAATTCTAAAGCAAAAAATTCGAAAGTGTGGGTAAGAAAACACTCACGCTAAAAGGAAATGCATTTTGAATTGAATATAATTATGAATGCGAGAAATAAACGAAAATTGTTGGACATGTATGTAAATTAGCAAACATTACGAAAACAAAAAAGTAAATACATAATGAGCGAGTATTAATAGAATATTTATAGTATGGTGAGAATGTAGCTAAAAGATGAAAAACAAGAATAAGATGGAGAAGAATTGTAATTATAAACCAAACGATAAACGCGACTTCACGGGTACTACAATGTTGTAAATAAACCAAATAAAATACAGTTAATTTAAAGTTAGCTCATATAATATTAATTATATAATATAAACACTGTGGCAACTTAAGAACTAGAAAATACTATAATAATAAGAATATAGTAAAGAGCGCTGGTGAAAAGATGTTAGTAGCATTAATAGTTAAATTAGTCCTAAGTTTAGCATAAAGATTGAGTAAATAATTTGTGTAGTTAAAAAAATTTTAATTAGTATAGTTAAATGTTGAATTGAATTGTGAATATAGGCAAATATATGCAAGAGTGAACAATTACGCATCAAATAAAATAGAAAATATTCAAAAAATGCAGAGAAGTGAAACATTTCATACAAAACGTGCTAATATTATGCAATTGATTTTTGCAATACTATTTCCGAATAAGTTATTAATAATTCTATAATATATTATATTTTATAAATAATTATAATTTTTAACAAATAAATTTTTTTCAAATTAAATTGTATATTATTAATTCTTGTTTTTTTTTGTTTGAAAGGATTTCATAATTTTTTTTTCAATTAATTATTATTTTTAAATAAATTATATATTATTAATCCTTTTTTTTTTGAGAGGATTTCATAATAATTCATTAATTATTCTATAATATTTTAAATATAATTAAATTTTTATTTGTGAATATATATTGTATTTTATATACTATTATTATTACTTAAATTTAAGTAGTTTTTAAATTTACTTTTTACATTATTATTACTCTTTTCTGTTTTGAGAGGTTTTTATAGTAATTAATTATATATTTTTTTAAATTTAAATAGAGGCTTATATATTATATTATATATATTATAATTTATAAATTATTGTATTATAATTTTTTATTAATTTATTTTACTTATAATAATTAATTACTTAATTAAATTTTTTTTTAAATTAAGTTATATATTATTATTCCTTCTTTTGTTCGCGAGGTTTTGATAATAATTAAGTATGAAATTACAAAATTTTATTCAGTTTTTTAAATTTTTTTTAATGAAATTTTTCATTATTTTTTGTTTTACCTTTGAGGGTTTTTTATAATATTTGGTTATTGCACTAAAATAATTAAATTTATGCAACTTATATTTGGTAAATATTAGGTAAAGTAAAAAGTTCGTTCGGTTTTTATCTAAGAGATGGCGTTACGGTGCTGAAAACGAGTTTATTCGCGCTAAAAGTTTGTCTTTGACAGTTTTTCGATTGATTTACTCAGTTCGTTGTGAGCGCTCGTCAAAGATGGACACCAACAAAGAGAAATTCGCTATATTTTACAATTTTTCTTCGATCAAAGCGAAAAAGCAGCAAAAGCGGCCGAAAACATTAATTTAGTTTATAGGCCCGATACTGTAAACGAACGTGTAGCACAAAAGTGATTTGCTAGGTTCCGTTCCGGTAATTTCGATGTCAAAGATGCACCACTCGTCGGGAGGCCTGTCGTCGAAAATTGCGATAAAATCATGGAAATAGTGGAAACAGACCGTCACGTGAGCACTTATTTAATTGCTGAAAACCGTTTGGAACCATTTGCATAACCTTGGATTCAAAAAGGAGCTCGTTGTTTGGATGTCGCACGAACTAACGCAAAAAACACGATGGACCGAATTTCCATCTGCAAATCGCTGCAGAATCGCAACAAAATCGACCCGTTTCTGAAGCGGATTGTGACTGGCGATGAAAAATGGGTCACTTATGACAACATCGAGCGCAAACGGTCGTGGTCAAAGCTCGGGGAAGCGGCCCAGATGGTGGCCAAGACCTGATTGATAGCCAGGAAGGTTTTGCTGTGTGTTTGGTGGGATGGGCAAGGAATCATCTACTGCGAGCTGCTCCCCTATGGCCAAACGCTCAATTCGGCCCTCTACTGCCAACAACTGGACCGCTTGAAGGTAGCACTCATCCAGAAGACGCCATCTTTGATCAACAGAGGCCGAATTGTGTTCCATCAGGACAACGCCAGGCCACACACGTCTTTGGTGACTCGCCGGAAGCTCCTGGAGCTCGGATGGGAGGTTCTAATGCACCCACCTTATAGTCCGGACCTGGCACCAAGTGATTACCATATTTTCCTGTCCATGGCGAACGCGCTTAATTGTGAGAAATTGGCCTCAAGAGAGGCCTGTGAAAATTGGCTTTCCGAATATTTTGGCAATAGGGTCGCAGTCTTCTACGAGAGGGGTATAATGAAGTTGGCATCTCGTTGGCAACAAGTTTATGAACAAAACGGCACATATTTGACTTAAATCGGACAAAGTTATCATCTTTTGAAAAATCAATAAAAAACCAAACGAACGTTTTACTTTACCTAATATATCGTGGTTTTTGAGAGCACATATATATAGCTTTTTTTTATTTTGTATACGACATAGTTTTTTATAAAAAAACACTTTTTATTTTATAACAAAAACTATCTCCTATTTATTTTTTTTTTTTTTTTGATTTAGAGTTTTTTATTTTTTAATAAATTTTGTAAAGCTATTTTCCAATTTATAGTATTTAAAAATATTTTTTTCTTTAGTAGTGTAATAATTTGATTTTTGGCCTCTCTCAAAATTTCAGCCAAGATGCTCATAATACATAATTAAATTACAACATTAATAAATTACAACAAAAGAAATTAAAATTACTAAGTTACAATTATTAAGTTCGAATAAGAAATTTTAAAA